ACCATCTCGTGATCACTGCAGCCAAGTTACAAACTGGACCTCGGTATTTCCAAAGTGAACACCCTGAACTAGTTTTTTGATATCAGAACTGTAAGATTGTGGAATAGCGTTGCAGTGGGAGTAGGGAGGGAAAGAATAGCCCAATAATTTTAGACAAACTTTGATTTATGATAAGGTTGATGCGTGTTTGTCTCTGCATTAAACAAACTAAATTGACCCGTTAGTGCCTTTTGTCCTTCTGTTCCAGTAAATGGATTACACTCATACCTACCTGTGTAAAAGTTTCTTTACAGGTAGGAGTCTCTGCTGCTCCAGAGTCTTCTAAAATGTGCCATTTATTTCATCTTGCAGCTACAGAATTACTGGCAGATGACCAATGTGTGATAAAACTGTTAAAGGGCTTATGCCTCAAGCATTTGGGCAAGATCTCAGAAGCAGAAGACCACTTTAATTACATCTATTTAAAGTAAGTTTTCATATCATACCTGGCATATAGGAGAGCTCTTGAATTTCTCTGTAACTATTTATTTCAAGTAAGAGGAGATGCAGCAAAAGATACAAATAGAAAGAAGTCTGCAGTAGCTTTAGTATTTCTTTCAATTGCTTTGATATCAAGGAATTGCAGTTTTAATTGCCAGTGCTATTAGCCATGTATGGAAGAAGAATTTCAAATCTACAGTTTTTATCAAGATATTTTCTCCTTTTTGGGGGGACTAAAAGTGCATAAATTTTTTGAGATGTTGCTTCCCATTTTTTGCCCCCTTCCTTTTACCAGTCATGAAGAAGCTGTACCCAAAAAGCAGTGTGCAGCCTGAAGAGGCAAGTGGCAGCATGATTATACTTGGAAGCTCTTTACATCTAGCAGTGAATTTTGTCAGTTCACATGGGTAGAGCTCAGAATACTGTCATCTTTTGTAATACTTCCCTGATAATAAAGACAATATTTTGTAATCCTGAGAAATAATAAGCTGTGTTGGATGGTTGTGCAAAATACACATTTATAGCCTGGAAAGATAGCTTTGGATAGAGAACGTGACAATTCTTGTAATGGAGATCGACTGCTTCTTCTGATCTTAACTAATCTGTTCCTTTGTGTTTGGAACTGTTAGGCGAGGGCGACAGTATATCATTTCAAGATCTTGAGGCTATTTCTTTTCCCATGTAGTGAGAAGAAGATAAAATATGACCATTATCTAATTCCAAATGCCTTGCTGGAGCTGGCAATACTCTATCTAGACCAGGATAGAAGAGAAGAAGCAGTAAAACTCCTGGAAAGAGCAAAGTAAGCAAGTGAAAAGCCTGTGCTGATACCTGATGGGTCGATATGGTATTTTACTGGTTAGTGGGAAGCATAAACATTTCATTAATATCATGAAAACTGTTTCTTTTTTCTCAATGGAAGCATGCATGCCTTAGTTTTGGTTTAGACCTTTCTAGTGGTGGACATCTGATCATTGCCTCTGATTTGCTCATCCATGCTGGTAAGAGAAAACAAAACATTTAAGATGTTAACAGGAAAGTCAAAGGCTTCTGTAAGAAATAATCCATGTATAACAAAATGGGATAATCCTTGTAGTCTATTTACTTATTCATAAAAGATGTATGAAATCAGATAAGAGCTCTTGTGTTATGGCTAAAATAGCATTACCCAAACTGATGGCTAACAGCACTGTTTTCTTGGTGAAATACATTTAAGGTAATGCTTCAGGGTGCATTTAGTATCTTTGTATCGTTACATCTGCATCTGAAAGGCAACTGAAACATCTGCTTTTACCATTTTGTGTGATTGATTTTTCTAGCATAGTAGGCTTATCAGGAATAGCTGGACTCGGTCATGCTCTTTATTATAAAATTTACAAAATTAGGTTTTTGTCTCTCTCCAAGCCTTTGTGCTTGTGAACCTGGTGCTCTGTAGGCTCATGGAGGATACTAAGAAGAAAAATTGCATTAGCAAAATGCAATGGAAAGTGTTTCAGTTCGTCTCACATTCCCCAAAGCATGCCTCTCCTCCTGTCCTCACTTCCTGTGTCCAAATCTCTCTTAAGAAGAGATCTAGAAAATAATGATTCAGAGCTTCTCATTCCATCTGGTGCTTGCCTTGTGCGCTGCTCAGGCATTGCCCCTTTCCCCTGACAGCTCAGAGTGGCTACAGTCGCAGGCACCCTTGAGGGAGGCTGTTTGGCTTAAGGAAGAGCACCAGCAGGCAGCAGCTCTAAAAAATTTGTTGTTACCTAGCGGCTGAAAAGCTAATGCTCAGACTTGTTAGGCTCAAAGAACACATGGGAACTGTACTGATACTCAACAAAAACCCCCCACAGACACAGCCCGCCCGGGTTTTAGTAATAAAACAATGAGAATGAGAAGTCCTTATGTTTCCACCTGTAGCTGTTGCACTGCATTAAAATGCTCAGGGTTTATAAGCTTCGAGCTAAAATTGCTGACTGTCTGTGCAGCCTCTAGAGGGAGAACATGTTAGCCATGGTGGGTTTCAGGACTGCAGAATTAAGTTTGCAATTGGCAGGAGCACAGACAAGCACTTGGCTTGTGCATGATGCTTGATTTGCTTGACCTAAATCCACATACTGCTGCTGGCTTGAATGGTTCAGCTCTGGGAGAAAGAGTGGAATGAGATGATAAACAGTCTTGGCTTGGGCATGCATGGAAATATTTCTATATTTGCTTGTATGACTAAGGTGTGAGTGAGTGCATCAGCCTACTGATGAGAAATACAGTATCTGCATGACAAAATCGACTTAATTTAAAGAAAAAAAAAAAAAAACAAAAAAACTCCAAAGAGTTTCAGATCTGCATGCAGCAGAATCCAGTCACCTCCTTTCCTCAGGCAGCCTCTTGGGTGTTGCATACATAAAATTACAAGGTAGTGTAGAATGGGTGTGGAATGCCTTGTTTTTCCAAAGAGACTGCCATGGCCATAGGGAGAGATACCCTGCTTCTGTGCTGCCTTTGAGTTGGGGATTTTTAACTGAAATACTTTTAAGGTACACAGGCTCTTTAATAGTTAATGTTCTGTTTCTGTAAAGATGACAAATATCTTTTAAAAGAAAACTAGTATGGTCTAATCCTCTTTGGTATCTGGAATCTGTATCCATCCTGCATGAGGTGTTGATGGCCCTAGGGGCAAATTTTCCTTTTTTTTTATATAAGCTTTTCTGTGAAAATACAGATTCTTTCAATGTTTCTGTAACTCTTAGAGCATGACATAGCTACTGGAGACCACAGGCAGATGACACTGCTGAGTCAGCCACTAGACGTTTTGGGGGGAAAGCCCTGTCAGTCTTTCACTGGGCTGGTGAATTGCTCCTCAGAAGCTGATGTGGAGTCTCGTGTGTGCCCATTTTCTCTTTCCAAGCTTCTAGGGCAGCAAATTGTCTGGCCTTATTTCCCATGATGAGTCTATCCTATTAAAAGTATTTTTTATTTTTTTTTTAAATCCTGAAAATGTTTGCATTCAAATTTATCATTTATACTTTGAGAGAAGGGGGGAAAAAAGATGAATTTCTGACTATAAACTAAGTGGATGTTGTAGATACTTAATATGGACTCAATATTCTGATGGAGTGGACCAGATTCAATTTCTTATTAAGCTATATTTTTCTGGTAATTGCCAAACAGTGGAACTACAAATCAAGAACAAAGAGCTGCATTGTTTGGCTAGGAACACATGCCTTGTATTTTAGAGTAGGCAACAAAGGAGCTTATGAAGAAAGGCTTTTTTGCTGTCTACAGTTGTTTTGCTTAGAACAATAATATAAAGATAAATTGAAAAATGTTTTTTAAATGTATATTCATCACAGTGGATCTGCTTTTGTTTTAGACAAAACTACAAGAATTACTCCATGGAAACAAGAACGCATTTCAGAATTCAGGCTGCCCTGCACCAAGCCAAATCCGCCCCAGAAAATGGAACGCACTGTGGAGCCTCGGCAGTGTCGTAACTTTTTCTTCTTTGATGTCCTGTTTGTTGCAAACTTTGGTACAGAAAATTGCTGACGCTTTAGAATTATTTTTCCTTCTCTTTCAAGTCAGTGAGAAGCCAAATCATTTAAAATTTTAAAGGTGATGCATAAAACGTTAATCTAGCATAATAAGATGGCACAAACCCTCTGAGATGAAACATAACCCTGAAAAACATCATTTTTCCACCAGTGGCTTTTGAAATACTTACATCTGTGTACTTTGTTTTTCAATCATGTGTGCCTTTTTCTTGCATTCATATTTACTAAGCAAGCTACCGCTTAAAGAGGAACAACTGAAAAAAACACAAAAAACAAAACTTGAAAGATTGATGGATTTAATCTCAGTTAGCTGTAAGTATTTGTTTGAATTCATACTGCTAGCAATTGAGAAGGAAGCATCACTTTTTACAAGTACCTGCTTAGTTGAAATAGTGTTGAGAAAATCTCCATGCAGAAGAAACACACAGGGAGGAGCTCTGAATCCTGGGCGTTTCTAGTTGCGCGTGGGAAGCTTCACTTTGCCAACTTTTACTAGTCGCATTCTTGCTTCTATAAGAAACTTGCTGGTGAAAAAAGAAGTCTCCCTTATGGAAGCATTTTGACTTTTTCTTTAATTTTGTTTCCATGTGAAGTCTGCTGCTTGTAGGAGCTGAATAATTTACCGAGGATTTGGGAGGGAGAAGGTGATGAGTGTAGAAAACTGCATCACTTCTTTGACAAGTTTAAAAGGGGAGGTCCTTAGGAAACTTTTTTCCATCAGAACGAACATGATCTGGAGTTTATATCGAATTTAAAGCACAAGCCCTTGAAGGTCACTTAAGAAACAACAATATTGCACTGTGAGCACAGCAATGCAGGAGTTACTGTGGCAGTTGGTTCCTTCTTGGGGGTTGGACTAGATGACCTTTAAAGGTCCCTTCCAACCTAAACTAGTCTGTGATTCTTAAAACAATTGTTCTTAGCTTTGCCTAACTGGAGATGTCCACTAAAGGCATCACATGGCAATGGTGTCTGTGTTAAGAAGTTGGGGTTGGAGCAGGTTCCTTTGTGAAAAGCAGAGCACTGCGCCAAAGGAGACACCCTTATCTTTTTGCTTTTTATTGACCTTGTGGAGGAATTTCTGTGTAAGGGGCTCTGAGAACAGAGCAGTGAGCTAGGTCTGCTTTCCAGTGCTGTCTGCCATAGGTAGACTTGCTGCTTTTCTGTGAAACTGGTAGTCTAGTGCAACACACATTTGACTCATATTTGCTATTCTCCAGGCTAGCTCCATGTCTGTATGCCTGTGGGGTCTTGGGGCACACTTCTACCTCCCTTTTGAAAGAGCTTCTTCCCCATGACCCATTCTGATACGTGGAGATAGGAGGTCTTCTGACAGCCCTTTTTCTCCAGTGGAGATGTTCGTCAGTTAGATTCATATCTCTGTGCCTCACTGAACATTCTTTCTAAAGTGGTTGTTCCCAGCAGAAGAGAAATTTGACAGTTTATCACTCTGCTTTTACCTCCTCTAAGGAAACAACATTGTTTTATAATTGTAAATTAATATGCAAGGAGACAGAACCACCTGTTCCCCAACACACAGAACTTGCCTTGTATTAACAATAGACACCCTTCAAGTGTCTATTTAAGTTAAAAGAAGTTAAAAAAAAAAAAGTTTAAAACAAGTTAAAAATCACAGGTGAAGAATGCATTTTCTAAAGTGACTTTCTCAGAAAAATTCAGTTCAGATAAATTTCTCAATTCAGATAAAACTCAGTATAAACAGTTATGCTATTTACATATTGCACACCAAAACTTAAGTGTAAAAATTCAGTCATTGTTTGTATTGAATAAAAGATTCTTGTTCTATTTCACGCATATAATGCCTCTTCTTCTAGTCACGTCCTTCCCAAATATTTTGACAGTCTTAGCATCTTTTAAGCAAGCAACACCATGAAAATTAGCATATATTGTACTTTGCAGAAAATGAACAATCCTCCTGACTGTAGAAGCCACTAAAGGCCACTGAAATGCTCTTTGAAATTTCACCCACAACCGAGTTTCTCCTGATCTTGGATTGCACAAAGGAGATCCTGTGCAATGCACCCTCAGTGTCCCGATTCTTTGCAGCAGTGAAAATCCCCAAGATTGTCATGGTCAGCTTTGGTGGAGCACAGGCACCAGTCATACCATGGACCTGATCTCCTGCTTCAGCTGAGGTTTTCGTAGTTAGCTGTGGTCAAGTAGCCTGTGCTTTCCACGCTGACTTTTTAGCTCCCAACCAATAGGACTCCCCTTCCTGATGGAACAACAACGTTCTGCAGGCTGTAATATTTGGAACTCGCTAAGGGGAAGGAGCACCTTGCTTACTGAAGGATGAATGGAAGGTCTGGTGCATTATCACTCCATATGTTTTTCATTGTGCTACATTTTGAATTGAACACCATTACTCTTTGTTCCTCAACGTTCTTCATTTTTATGCTCTTCCCTGGCAGGGATCAAAAACTCAGTGGTGGCAGTCTGGGCTGGAGGCTCTATACTGGGATTGTTTTTCCATTGCTTCTCCTGAAGCTGCTGCATTGTGCCTGAAGCAGCTCTCCAGAGTGGTGAATTGCTTCATCAGTCTGGAGTCCCAAGTACAATAAATTAGGGAAAGTACGTTTGGTGTGAGTTCTCCACCAGATGAGAGCAGATACTGCAATGGAATCTCAAATCATGGAGTTTGAGCGTGGCCTCAGATTCAGGAAACATTAAGTAGTATTTCAGATGGATGTAGTCACCACTTCATTTGCAGAAGGAGCACTTCCTTCTGCTTTCAAACGTTGCGTTGTCTAACACTAGAGAAACACACTCTGTCTGTTAGGCTTTAGTCAGCAGTTGCTGATACCACCTCTTCTCAGTCCTCAGCAAAGCCAGAGAAATTAACCAAAGGCAAATTACTAACTCATGTAGCAGAAAATAGTTTTCTGCAGTTGGTAGGACCTTTGTCATGAAACTTACAGCGAAAAAGAAACACTGTTTGTATTTTTTTTTTTATGAGCACAGATAAGTGGTTTCCTGCCAGTAGCTGATGAGGGGGGTAGAAATTCATACTCAAGTTGCCTGGATGTCTGCAGAAGTTGTAGTGCTGCTCCGGTGCTGTTGCTGTCATCTGAAAGGGGTAGTGGCCAGAAAGGGAAAAGCAGGAATATGAGCATCACTTTGTTATTAGATCTGGTATGTGGAACCAATGTATGTATGGCCTCGTTAAACGGCAGGGAGGATGTGGGCTGAAAAGCCAGCAGCTTATACTGAGGTCTAATGAGGGGTAATGCCATCAACACCTCGCTCCTACAAATAGCACAACAGAGAACCCCTTGGATGGAGAACAGTGTGATCAGGTGCAGCTTCAGCCCAGGTCTTCTGGATGATCAGAAGAGATTTGGATGAAGTCACAAACATGATACAACTGCTGCTATTTGGAAATACCCACTTGTGATTGCACAACTTAAACCAGGAGCATAGGACCGTGCTTGGATTTATTCCCTCCCAAGGGTTTACATACAACACTAAGCCGCCCCTTCCACCTGCGAGATGCATTTCTTTGCTTTCTCCAGCATACAAACACAGCAGCAAGGCAAATGTGCATGAAATGACCAAAACGACGCCCTCCACACAGTTCCCCTCTGGGAGGAAGAGAAGATAAAGAGGTGAGTCATGTTGTTTATTGCTGTACAGGAAAATGGTTAATGGTTGGAAACGTCACCGATGAATGAGATCAGAAAACCTGAACAAACGAGAAATGAACTTGCTTCTTTGCTCCTTAGGTTCTGCAGATACCTTTCTGTGACGGATTATAGGCAAAGTATGTATTGGCAAGTATTTTAATTGAATGATTTGTCATCATAAAATATTTTTTTAATGATGCTATCTAAGTTGGCTTCAGATGTTTCAAAAGAATTTAAAACAAAACAAAACAAAACAAACCACTTTCATTTAAAAACATGCCCAGTCAATCCTTGTCTCCAAGACTTACGAAGAACAGAGCTAATACCTGCATTGCACTGTGGTAAAACTGGTGTTTGCTCCAAATTCAAAGATGTTTTTGTAGGACTGGGCTGTGTTCCATTATATTGTGGTCTTTTTTAAATCTTTGGACCTATTTTTACTGCTGGCTAAACATAGGCAAAATGCTTATTTAGAATTGTGCATTGCATTGAATTCTACTTGCTTTCTCTCTCCTTGCTTGTTTTATGGAAAGAGTACAAAACAGTGGTCGCAACCCCCACCCATGTGCACTCTTGATGGGCTGCTTCAATTCAAACAAGAAAAAAAAAAATCAAAAAAATATTTGCAACAACAGTTTCAGGTCTGTGGCTGAAAGGCAGCGTAGCAGCACGGTGAGAAAGAAGAGAACTAGAAGATGAAATATTCTGGACCATTTCCATCTCATGCTGTGCTTTTCTGCTGCAGCACACAGGGTGTGGAGGTAAGGACCCAATTCTTCAGTGCTGGACCTATAGAGGATGTTTGTCTGCAATGCTGGAGCCACAGCCTAGTGGTGAGAGCATCATAAGTCCTAGGTGACTGGCTTGTGAACGTGGTGCTTTTCCTGATGTTTTGGTAAAGCTGGTACTGTGAGATGCCTGAAGACTGCTTCTGCTGCTCTGTCCAAAGATGCAGAATAGGAATGTCATCTCCAGCAGTTAGCAGGATTCAGTAAATCATCCCAGGGAGCTGAAGCAATGTTGTTTAACTCCAGAAGATGCAATATATGGATCATGTGCAGTGTCATCTTTATTTGAGTATGGTAGCCAATGCTGTGGTCATCACAGGGTGTTGGACAACTGCAAAGTTTTTTTAGAAGCAACCAGCAGGGACAGTTACAGTTTTGGTAATTCAGTCATAAAATCCCAAGTTGGAAGGGACCTCAAGTATCATCTGGTCCAACTTTTCTTGGCAAAAGCCCAGCCTAGACAAGATGGCCCAGCTGAATCTTTAAGTGTCCAATGCTGGAGACTCCA